TAGTAGTAGTAGTAGTACTAGTACTCCTGGTCTTGTCCATGTTTTTGCTGCCGGTGTGGGTTTTTACTGTTTTATGTACCTTATTTTCTCAATGCTGTCCTGCTTCCTTCTGCTGCTGGTGTTGCTCTGACGTTGTTGCCGGCCATGACTTCTATCATTTCTTTGCATGGGTCCATGTCGCACATTTCAAGCCCGCCGGCATCACTTGGAGCGGTTAGCTCTTGGCCCTCGTGGCGCCTCCTGGGTCGGTGCACGCAAGTTTCCCAGCGTTCCGTAACCGAGCCTTCGCCTATGGTGACTCGTTGGTAGTAACGAGGCACGGTCAGTGCGATTCCAACATGCCGTCGGAAGGAGATAGCTAAGAACGGCTCCCTATGATGACATTCCCTAAACCTTAAACCGTGATCATAGTGCTGACCAGTACCCTACCGCTCTGAGATGCCGGCCATGGCGCCGCTGTTGGATTTTTTGGAAGAGTTCCTTGGCCTTGGCAAGGCCAACTGAGGGACAAATACCATCAACACTTGCAGAAGTCCCGACATAACCGAAACCCCGGTGATAATGGTACATGGTACGATCCGCAAGCAGAAACCAAATAACTCTGATTTCCAGACGTCGCTGGTAACGACAAGATTGTATGGTAATGATACACAGGCAGATGTTCTTGAATAGACAATATGTCAAATGTTTTTAACGCTAAACATGACGACTAGTATGATGATGCTGATGGGGATGATGGTAGTCATCATCATCATCATCACCAGCATCATCATCATAGCCATCATATGTCCACCATTATCCTCATCATCACCACCGTCATGATGGTCACCATCAGCACAATCATTACCGTCATAACCATCAGCGTCCTTTTCAGCATCAAGAACACCTCGTCATAGCGTACCTGAGTACTCATAGTAGCGAGGTGTAGCAAGATGGAATAAGAATCGTGGAAGGCGCAGTTGCCATCGCTGCATGCTAACTGTCAGCCCTCGTATGCAGCGCGTCCACTCTGGGGTACTGTAGACGAGCGGGCATGTTCTTATTATTTATTGCTTCCATATGCTAACCGAACAGTTGGAATAACACTGGTAATGGTACCATGGAAATCACTGATAATCACGCTGTTGGCTATCCGTGGTCATGTTGCTGGTAGCTCTGCACCATGATCAGCAACACCATCATCATAATCATCATATAGTTATTGTTATTCGCCACCTGTGTCATTACCATCACCACGCCCATCATCATCATCATCATCATCATGACCATCATCACCACTACCACCATCATCCTTGCTTTGCCACAACTTCCATCAACATCATAATCGCCCATGGCATCCACCTGTGATGGTCACCAACATGACCATCATCATCAGCAACAGCATCGTCTGCAACACTTTGTCGGCCATCCTGCATGATGACCGACCGAAGAATCAAACTGAACACCCAAACATTGATTCAAGCCGTGAAGACGGAAATGAGTAGGCCCTCGCCATTGACAACACCAGCTTACTAACCCTTCTATGTATCCATACACTATGATCTTCACCTAAACCCGATTAAAAGTCATAAAGTCTCGAGGGCCCCGAGCTCGAGCCAGACGCCTTGGGTCTGTCAACCCTGGCCGAGGCTCATGGCGGTCGTTTGTAGAGGCAAGTACATATACATATATACGCATGCATAGACATATATGTATACAGACCCTGTATATGTATATGTAAGTACATGTTTTAGGTATATACTTGTGGGATGTTTATGTACGTGCACATATTTATCTATATGACAGCAAGGACATGTGCGTGTGAATCATTCGCTGTTTGCCGCTGCCTTGCAGGTTGGTGTGACATTTTGGCGTAGTAGCAGTGGTAGTAGTAGTAGTAGTAGTCGTCGTTGTAGGAGTAGTAGCAGTAGTAGCAGCAGTAGCAGTAGTAGTAGCAGTAGCAGTAGCAGTAGCAGTAGCAGTAGCAGTAGCAGTAGCAGTAGCAGTAGCAGTAGCAGTAGCAGTAGTAGAAGTAGAAGTAGTAG